GGGCCCGGTGGATGGATACTTGTTAGACCTGGGTGGCCGTTTGCCACTGTGTCCGCGCTGACACCGGACGGCGTATCGATCTGACCTTCCGACGTGCCGCGAATTGCGGGAATGAATTAACCGGTGTCTCCTTCTCGGGCGCACGTGGACGAATGTAAAATTAATCGACGATAGCCAGCCGACACAGGTCGATATCTCGGACGTCGTAAAAAAAAAATATATATACGTTCTCTTTAATCTTGAGGACTCGGCGGCGACGTTCGATTTATTCGAAGCGCCACAAATCGCGACGAAGAGGGGGGAAAAAAAAAGTTTACTACAGGTTTTGCAAGACTCCATCCGCCGGAAAAGATTTTAATTCTTTTTCTTTTAGCTTTCCATACGTAGGGACAAAAGGGGGCAGAGTGATTATACATACACATGTGTGAAATATACGAGAAAGAAAAAGTAAGTAACAGAACAGGCCAGCGGGGGGTGGGATGGACATGAAATTGACATACGTGAAATTGAAACTGACTATGGAACTCGGACAGAGTGGTAGAGTCGATCGGAGCAAAAACGAAATGACAAATAAAACAATATCAATCTGGAGATATTTCCCGAGTAACTTTGAAAAATAATTAAGACGAGGTGGAATGACGTTTTTATAGCGTTATCTTACCCGATCGCTGCGATTGCATGCGTGAATTAAATTAACGCGCGATGCGCAAGATGGCAAAATGATGAATCTTTCAGCCCGATTAAGCTTCGGGCTGAAAAAGTACTGTTTGAACTCGTAAAGCTCAAGACCCTCGCGAAATACTTATATACGTGCTCTGAGAAACAAGCAAAAGGATCGTGCCATCTTGAACAAACGTATGAAGACAGAGTGAAGATGCTATGAGTATAATGATGCAGAAAATCAAAGTCTACCGTTGAAGATGTAAAAATCCAGGCTATATATGTGCCGTCGAGACACGTTGAATATGTATCACACACATACATGTTTATACGTAATCGGGAAGTGAAAATAAAAATGCCAAGAAGAGCAGATATGGAGCAGATACGGAGACAGAAAGAGAGAAAGAGAGAGAGAGAGAGAGAGAGAGAGAGAGAGAGAGAGAGAGAAAAGAAAAAGAATCTCGTACCTCGATGCGAGAAATTGTGAATATCGTGAAACAGATGGTCAAAGATAAAGAGAAAAAATATATAGAAAAATAGTAAATATGTATATATATTATATATATGTACAGACATATATATTACGCGTATGGATATCATACAGAACGGAAGATAAAGAAGAAAAGAGAGAAGAAATAGATAGACGCGAACGTACATACGTTCTTCTCCTTCCAACGAACACGATAAAGGAAAAATAAAAAAAGAGAAGACGATAATAAAGAAAGAAAAATACGGAGGAAGAGAAAGAGAGATAGATAGAGAAACAGAGAGAAAGAGAAACTCGACATCGAGAAACTACTATGAAAATAGCTAAAAAATTAATGATAATCAATGAAGCTCTTAATCGTGTGACGTCTAGAAGAATCGAGCGGCGTTTCTTACCATCTGTCCGTGCAGCGAGTGAAAATGCAAACAGAAAGAGAATTCAAGATTTGTCTCTGGAAGTTATACAAGTGAGATCGTGGGGGAGATGAGATGATTAGAGACATATATTTTTTTCTTTCGAAATCAACAAATTATTCTTTCGATGAATATTCGGGAAATTGCGCGCGAATCTTTTTTTTTTTTTTTTTAACTTTCGCTTAAGAAGATGAATTTTATTTAAGAGAGGTCCGCGAACATCTAATTATGTGAATCGTAGGGAATATCTATAAAGAATACGTAGAATTCGCAGGTGCCGTCGAAATCGAACGATTGGAAAAATTGTCGATGGAAATTAATTGGCGGATCGATCGTGCGCGTGAAATTTGTCTGCTAGGCGAACTAGAAAGAAAAAAAAGAAAAAAACAAAAAAAAAACAAAACACGCCGAAGCTTCGCCGCTTTCGTTCAAAATCGCGTTAAATTAAAAGCGATCGAACGAAAAATTAACGGCATGTTTCGACTTTCATCGATGCGATGAAAATGAACAGTCGAGCAATTCTTCGTAAAATTCGCGCTCACCGTTATCCAATCCGGGCGCACGTGCACGATCGATCTTCCTTTTTGGTGGAGAATGCGACGATTCATAGAACGAGGAGGGGGGAGGGGGGGGAGGCAGGGGAATCCCGATTCATTTTTCATCGTTAGATTGTGTCCAACTCTTTTCTATCGGTTCGGCAGGACATGAGGGATGAATCCACGCATTCTCCCCGTGCACGAAGATGACGTGGCCTCTCTTAGATCGTGTCGGAGCTTGTAAGGGATTCCAAATATTAACGGCATCTCTGGCCCGTCTTATCGTGCACTCGTCCGTCCAGCTGTCCTCCAAGTGACGGATAAGATTGAAACCGTGTTTCATCTCTCGTCGCGGTTATCCGAGTGCATTTCGAGACGAAATGAATTTACCGGAGATGAGATTTAATCGAGAACCCGATCAAAGGAATTGAAAAAAAAAAACACATCTTCTTCACACTCTAAAAATATTCGATTTGGATTTAACACCATACGGTGTCTATACACAGTAATTGTTTGCAATGAATTCAGAGATTGATTTTCATTATTTCAGATTATTAATATTCTTATAAGAATATGCTTGTTAACGTAAAAAATTATTAAATTGATTGCCAATTTAATAGGTATTACTTATATTCTGCTCGTAACTGCATTTCAAGATCAAAAAAGATTTCAACGTGCGATTTGCAGAATCAGATATATAAATTCATATAGAAATATTTAAGCAGTAAGATCCGTTTTGACTGAATATACGATTTTTCTTATTTACTTCTCATCGTGTTAATATTGTATTATATTAACACCAACATGATGTAGATTTAGTATCATGGATTTTAAATCCACATAAATGTTAATGTAACATGATTAGAATTAGGTAGGTCATGGATAGAATATAGATAAGCATTCAATACTTTGATTATATATCAGTAAAAATGATTAAATTAATAAAGAAATTGATCGATTTCACATATTGTTTTCTAGAGACATCACGATATATTAAATCCACACCGACATCTTTTAGAGTGCACGATATTGTTTTCATGCGATCGCAGATCTCTAAATAAACAAATTTGTTTTTCTGATTTCTGCGAGATGATTGTTGAGATGAGAACGAGTATTTCTGTCGCGTATTTAATCAACGCGATAATTCTCGTGACTCTTCGCACGATTTTTGTATTAGGCAAGTAAAACTCAGACACCGTAAAACTATCAAAAATAACCCCGAAGTAAAAAGGATAAAAGAAGAGAGACTCTGATCACGATATAAGAGCGACCAGTCTGAGAGCCGATCTTGTTCGAAACATCTGCAAAGTAATAGTGTGTATACGGATTAAGGTGGGAAATAAGAGCTAGGTGATAGACATTACCTTCCTCGAGCGCGTCATCACCGTCGCTCATCAGCTCGTCGTCCGAGCAAATGTTCAGCACGTTCACCAACATTTCTGTGACTAAAAGATAAAATAAAAATTTGCCCATTAAATTCCGAGTAAAACACATCTTGCAATCGACTAAACAAGTTATCTCGAAATACTCCATTTAAAAAAATCGAGATATATATATGTATCTCTCTTCCATCTAAATTATTACATAAATATTTTTTTCATATTTTTTCTTCTAGATACATAAATCGATTTATGAACATTATAGAACTATTTACTAAGCAAGGTATATCATGTGGAAATATACATTACAAGAGTTTGTATGTAGAAACTATAAAATACACTGTTATTTTTGTGTCTAATATAAAGATATATATTTTTTTTTACATAGCATGTAGAATTAAAAGTTTAACTTTTATAAAACCGAAAACAATTTTATACACTTCCACTATAAATTGCGTAACTCTTAGACATATAATTTATATAATTTTATATAATTACGTTTTTTTTTTTTACAGTGTAAAATAAATTTTTAACGTAAGAGCAAACGTCTTGTTGGTTTTACCTTTCTCGCCGACAAATGGTAGGGACCATGTGAAAACGTCCATGAAATTGGGCAACCAGTATGGGTGTGGCGAGCAATTGAACTGCCTGATATTCATCACGTTGTTCTCGTACTTTAAAACCGCTGCCTGCAAGCACAACGAGCACATCGGGTCTTTACGATTGCAGACCAGCCGTCTACAGATCATAAAACGAACAACGACGCGCCCCGCACTGATCATAAATGTGCGACATTAAATTAATGTCGAAGTTTACGCTCATTGCGACTGGCGCGATGCGCTGTTGGCTTTTACCTTGTTGTTGTACACGTCGAGATAGTTGGGCGCGCTAAAGATGGTGATGAGCGACGGGAAGCCCGTCGTCTGAGACTTTCGATACATGCGATATCCGGCGTCTTGAGCCTCGTGCGCCCTTATGATGCTGAGCAAATTGTTGTTTTGCAGAAAGTCGCAACACGCCGCGTAACTGCAAGCAGACATTATCGATCGACCGCTTAAAGATTGGGAGAGAGAGAGCTTGATTGCCGATAATTGCTGTTAAGAGAATTATCCGAGCGTACGAGCGGGCATGTTAATTCGCTTATATTATTAAATGTATTTAGCACTAATGAATAACATGGAAATTGCCGTGGTAGCGTAAATGACTCGGCCTTTAAACATTTTAATAGTACGCCAAAATTTTAAACATTTAAAGAACATTTTCTCTAAGTAAATTTCGTAGCAAAAGGAAGATATTAGGAAGTTTTTCGTCTAACCTGAAGAAGTTCTACGATACGCAAATTATATGTGTAGCATATTAATTATAATTAATAGTTTAATAATTAACGGATTATTTAAGCGAAATTGAGTGGTCTATCATTTATCTTGGGGGAAACATCAGAGAACATGAGAGAAATCGTGATAAAAAATAATAAATATAGCTCTATCACATTTACTAATAAAAAGTTGTTGAGTACGATACCAAGACATCTCGAGAATTAAGCAACAAGAATTGTATTATTACTTAAATATGAATAACTTGGCGATTTTTGAGCAATTGATGAACGACAGAAAGTCCGAATTATTTTTAATAATTTCTATAAGTCACCACTGTTCCTACCTAATAATTGAACCAAAACAATAGAGTTAAAACAAATTAATTTAAGAGAATGTAATTGGACTAAGATTCAATTTATTATTTATTAAGTTTAAACGTTAATATAAACGATGTTTACTTTGAATGAAAACTTATTACAGAAATGGATTGATTTACATTTTGACACAGATGGAAGTTAAAAATAACAAAACGTTATTTAACTAATGGGATTATTTTGATTCCATTGTTCCTTTGATATCTAACGATGTAAAACAATGAACTTTCGACATTTTTCATCTCTGGGATGTAAAAATACCCCAGTTTAAGTAGCTCTTTAGTATGATGTATAATTTGTACACACCATGGAACTTTTTCATGTTAGCCGAAAACAGCCAAAACTTAATATTCTCCTTTGAAGCGTATAAGTTTCATAAGCGTTCGTGAGGCAGCCACCGACGCGCGAATATTCATGTCGGGAAATTCGTGTATCTTAAATCGCGACCTAGATTAACATCGTAACGCGCTTTTGGCACATGCATTGGAAACAATTGCACGGGCGCCAAATGATCAATCTTAACTTGTCGAGAACGACTCGTACAACTTTTTGTATGCGGTTCTGTGTATTTATACAAAATTGTTGGAGTGTTCTGAATATTGTAGTCGAGTTAATTTCTGAGACTACTCGAAGCTTCGGCATCAGATTACTACGTTCGCTGTTAATGCAAGTTAGAGGTATTCGAGTCTTTTATACGGTGTAGCTTTTAATGTCCATCCATCCCTGCCAATCGTACACTGGATGACGGACGTTATTGGCGTACCGACTTTCGGGTTCACATAAACAAATTATGCCGGCGAAAACGTCAACAGGACGGCCCTTTTCGCAGTGTGGCATAACTGACTCCGCCAAGAATCGTGAGAAATGTTTGCGCCACGTCGCGGCATGGTCGTTAACGGCCATTAAGACCCGTTCATAGCGCCGACAGAGATTAATGACGAGGTGAAATCTCTCGAAAACCGCGCGCCGCTCGCCAATGTGGCCCGGTATCGATCTCTGGATCGTTGAATCTTCGGTACGCACACATCCCGAGTGCGACGATAAGATGATTTATTTAACGATAGGACGTTATATCGCAGTGCGCAAGATGTATTCCGTTTTCTCGTCGTAACAGCGTACTACAGCCACTTCGGGTCATTAAGGGATGGCAGGGAGTAATCAGCAGCTTCATTACGAGTCAGACGTTGGAGGGAGGAAGGGTGAGTAGTACGAGTCGCGCTGTAGTCGGACGAACGCCGGCGATTACAGCCGGACTACTTGCATATTGCTCGAGACGCGAGATGTGATTTATGTTCGCGTGAAACTTAATGCACGTATCTATCCAGGAACGAGACACGATAATGCGAGAATCGAAAATAAGGGATTAAGGGTACTGGTGCTATCTAGAACGTCTTCATAACGGCCACTATTATCTTATCGTGATCGCGATTGCCTGTGCTACATCCGCGTATATATCAATGAACAACTTGATTATGAAAATCACCTCGATAAATCAGCTTTCTAACATTCCTGCCGCTGTTACTCGAGAAATACTGACACGTATACGGTTGGCTTCGCTGAAGTATCTAAAAAACTCACTAGACGCAGGATCTGAAAATAATTTTCTTGGTCTTCCAAAACAATTATGCAGAACGCTCAAACTGATTATTAAAATGTCAAAATTATTCGCAGCATCGTTTGTCTTGCTTGAGTTTTCTACATAATTACTTTAATGATTTAATCAAATAAAGATATTTTCAGATTTGTAACTAGTTAAATTTTTAGATACTTCAGCAAAATCATTCTTTCCGTGCACGATTCTTTGATGACGTAACGTGCCGCGTCAACATTAAATTATAGAGAAATATAGAAAATAAAAGTAAAATAAAAACAATTCGGTAAAAACACAATATTAAAAAATTTTAATTAAAAATTAAAGACTTAATAATTAAAGTTTAAAATAATATTAATTATAAACTAATATAACTGACATTATTAGTAAATATTAATAAAAAGTATAACAGAAAAAAAAAAACAGATTACATATTTTAATTTATTCTTATTACGTATATGTAGTGATTTAAAGACTTAAATTTCATAGTAAAGTACTCTGTTATTTACGCTATAATTAATTCTACATTTTGAAAAAGCTGTCAGGAGGCGCCATGTCAAGTATAAAACTACAACAGTTAAAACAGCTTAAATACAGAATTTTTTGTAATATTAAAAATGTGATAGAGGAACACTAATTTGGCATCTCCCGAGGTGTATATTTACGAGAACCTTATTTTTCAAATCTTTTCCACGATGCCAAAAATCGCTTTGAGATCTGGACGCAGAAAGAATTTATTATTTATTAAAAAACGCTATAAAGAATTTATTAATTGCATTCATCAATGGTCGAATTGTTCGAATGCAATATATTAATTTCTTTTCCATCTGAAATCTCGATTTTTAAGATCATGGACACAAAGAGGCTTAAACTAACTTATTTTGCACTACTTGTTACTTCGAAATGTCTTACAACTGTGAGTCATTAAAATTTCCTACGTAAATGCTTTCAATGCATATATAATTGGTACAATCATTTTATTTCTTAACTCATTAAACAGCCAATGAGAGAATATACAGAGAAAATATCATTTTTCTATTTTTTTTTAAACAAAAGAATTAATGATAATTATACATTGAAAAAGAAATTGATTGCATCAATTGGAATGAACAAATCAGAATTTTCTGATTGACTCTATTATAATTCTATTTAAATAACTAGAATTCTGATACGGCTAGAATCTTCTGATTTGTTCGTTTTCAATTAGAAACTTTTTTCGCTGTGTGTTTTAAACTATTTTAAACTAACTTTTAAGCTTGGTTAATAAAAAAAACTTACGTGTAGAAATTTATATCAGACTGTGTTGTAATTACTAACAAATAAGATAAACAATTAACAATCGAATCGAGTGAAACAATCAGTGAAAGGCATACTTTTCATTCTCGCTCTTTTTCTTGCGCCAACTTTTGGCAACAATCGGGAGTGATAATAAAGATATTTAATACTAATTTGTTACTGAAGATCGCATAAGATCGCGGAGAAATATAAAACGCGTTTTTCCAGAATTTAATCTATTACAGTTTACTTCGTCAACATATATATGGCACGTACGTAAACGTGACGAACGAATACGTAGGAACGAATACGCGAAACGGCTGACACTTAACGAATCTCAGTTCTCATTAGCGTGGCCGTTCGTATAATTAGCGGATCCGCGAGAGGGGCTGTCATGTCTGCGGTTTGCTGACATCGTCGTATAACACGGTCGTTATTAATCCTCGCACGGGGCAAACCACGGGCGTGTCCGCGGACGCTGACAAAGAGCGACGCGACGAGGGACCGAACGTGACGTTTGTAGGAAGATTTGGCGGAGAAGGAAAATCTCTCAGACACAGATGGGTCAGAGGAGCCAAAGTTACCTCGTTTCACGCTGTGTGGATCACGTGCGAGGGATGTGGCCAACGCGCTTCCGGCTGCACTGCTCGCAAACAGACGGCGAGATAATTACCCGTTGGAGGGAGTTTAACGGGTTGGCTAGAAAGGAAAAACGAGAACCGGCCGGCGACAGCCGCGAGATGTATCGCACAAGCATATCGTATTTCTACGGCAAAAAGAACTCCGACTACCACCGAGTAGTGATGGGGTGTTGACCTCGTTTTTTTTCCTCCGCTAATATGTCCTTTATTATTACGTTAACACCGTGGTATCGACGTGTCCCTCGGATATATCGACGTTCCCGACGAAAAGTATTGTAATTGCATTTTCTGATATTTCCAATTTTATCGAATCCTTTTTAAATACTTTTTTTTATTGGCAGTATGGCTTAATGAAATATCGTTATTTCAACCCGGATAATTTTATTTGTACATGTGTATGTTATAACTGATAAATAAAATACTTTTGGAGAGAAAAAGCTGTTGTGTACATGTTTCTTAAATTTCTTTTGTCAATTGTTCGACTTAATTTAGGCATTAATTACATATTTTATAGGAGAAGTCTTCTGAAAATGAGTTTTCTGAAAAGAGTTCAGAGACAAAAAAAGATATAATATGATCAGTCATTTATCATATTGTTTCAGTTAGCTTGAAATAGACTTTATTTTAATAAAGTTTTAATTCGATACTGGATATGTAGGACGTTCAAGTTGTTGGAACATTGAACCTTTTTACAGCATTGTTATCGACGTTTAAGAACTCTATATAATTATTTTGATGATTTAACAAAATTATTTTTAAATCTATATTTAGCCAAATTTTTAGATACCTTAAAACCTTCTCTTTACTGTGTGATATTTAATCTACAGTACTTTTCTCCACTTCAGAAAAATGCAATTCCGTTCAGAGAATATAATTACAAATGTATATATAACATTGAAATAAGTTAGAAAAATCCAATTCTGCACGTTTTCTCCAAATTTTCCTAGTCGTATGTTAGAATTTCTATTACACATGTTACCTGTAATTTAACAAGTTAAAAAAGTTTAAAAAGAGGTTGAAACGGGCACTCACCTGTAAAAGTATGAACAACCCCTGACACTATTGTGGGAAAAGTGTTCCGCATTCTTCTCGTTGCCGAAGTCCTCGAGAGGATCCGACCAGAGGAGATCACACATTGGCCCAAATGCCGGCGGCTCTTTGAACCTGTCCAGCTGGAACAGCAAATCAACATTGATCGAATTAGTTCAAGGAATTAACTGATAGCACATCGACTGACGCAAACGCAGCGTAATTTTCAGCGTAATTGTATGGGCCATTGTCGGCTTTACCAAATTCACAATGGGTTGGTCAGTCAGTTTGCACTTTGGATCGTATCCTATTCGGAGGTTTAGTTGGCTATTATACGTTACACGCAAAATTTATGTGGTACTGACTGGTCCTGGTTAATCATGACGGCTTCATTTACGTCGATCGCATCAGTATGTCGTATTTTTAGTGAGATCCCAAAGTAAAGCAAATTATCGATATTTCGTAATTCTAAAACATCTTCGAATCGTCTTTACTTAAGAATTACCAAATTCTTGTACACGATTAAAGTACAGATAAAATAGCTATTGCAAACATCGACTTGTCATTCGACGACAATATCTGCTTAATACAAAAATTCTACAATTTATACGTACAAAATAAGATAGTCTCGCCATAGAGATAATATCGTACACGAACACTATCGTAATGGAATTAAGATTAAGTTTGGAAAAGTTTAGAAAAAAGAATTATTTGTGTTTTGTAAATGTAAATAGAACAATATTGCATATAATAGAGATGCTGGATCTTGCAAGATACAGCGCTGCATGCAATATATTAGATAAGAACCGATGTTTGAACAAAGACAAAATAATAATGTAAGAAACTGAATTAAAAACATCACTATTATCGATATTTTTTTTAGTTTGAAATTAAAATCTGTTTTACCGACATTGTTAGAGTTTGGCCTTTGCCTTTAGAATCTCTTTAACGTTTAATTTCGATTTTGCGGAATCACTGTCACAGCATTTAGACACCACTCTTTTGGACACCAAGATATCTTGGAACTATCGAGGAGTCATCAAAGTGGCACTTACATTGCCACTTTGATGACTCCTCGATAGTTACAAGATATCTTGGTGTCTAAAAGAGAAAGGAATAACCGATAATCTGAACTTGGAATTGAATTATAATTTGACAGCGATTTGACAGTGTCGAAACGCCATGTATCGAACACCACAGAGTCTCGAGGGCGGTAACTCTGCTGTGAGTTTACGTATCACGACAGCGCCAAACAAGGTAAACGTAAGCCGGATCGTCTGCAGATTGCATTAATTAGGCTACCGAGCCTGACAACAATGTGCTCACCGCGGATTTCCAAATGTCTATTGGTTGCCACTAAATCGTTAAGTACTGAAATCCAATATTCAATGTTAGAACGGACAGATGCTATCGCACTGATCTTACTCGACACTTATTTGACATCACGTTACGTGTATCCC